TGTGTGTGTGTGTGTGTGTGTGTGTGTGTGTCTGTCTGTGTCTGTCTGTCTGTCTCTCTGTCTGTCTGTCTGTCTGTCTGTCTGTCTGTCTGTCTCTCTCTCTCTCTCTCTCTCTCTCTCTCTCTCTCTCTCTCTCTCTCTGAGACTTGGTTTTGTGAATGGAAACGATTCAATCGAGCTGAGTCTCTCTCTGTCTTTCTCCATTCCAGTGTTCTCACTCTTTCGGAGTCTTTCCGTCTCAGTGTTCTCACTTTTTCATTTTTGTTGCCACTCTGTTTGACCTGCAGGGATGTGAAATTGTGATCGCAACACCAGGTCGGTTACTAGACTGCTTAGAACGAAGGTAAGGGATTCTGGCCAGACATCGTAAACTGTCTTTACACATAGTTCAGAACTTCACCCTAGTTTATACTACTTTATAGCAAGTTTTAGTAACTCTTTTTTTAAGTTTTTTTTCTTCTTTTTTCACAGTAGTTTACACTAATCTAGATTCTAGAGTCGTTTGCGAATTAGTACCAAGTGTACAGTGTACGCCTATTTTATAGCAACTTTATGCTACTGATAGACGTCCATGGGGGTCACTCCATGAGCTGCAATCAACAAATAAATTGAAATCATCTGTTTTCATTTTTTGAATTTCTTTCAAATAAAACAAAACAAAAAATTCAAAAATTCAAAAGATGTATATGTATAAACTCCGACGAGACAGTCGGTCACTTGCCCCTCATTTGTTTTCCACCTATTTGAGAGTATTTAAAAATTTCTCATAGAAGTGCCAATTGGACGAAGAGAAAAATATGTACGACTGTGCTTGAAATAGATATGTTCGTTAGGTGGTGGTGCACTCTTCTGTCTCTACAAAAACAGCAAATAAAAAGAAGAAAAACCAGGGAAACTGCAGCTGGTATGGCGCACACGGGCAGGTGCCTCAGCACATGCCTTGCGGTGCACGGTGTGGTCGCGAGTATGGTGTCTACAAATGTTGCTCTGCAGCGGGCTAACGGGTCATCTCCAGTGGGGAGTGAGCATGTCCAGTCGGGTACATGAAGCCAATGGGCATCTCAGTGGCGACTTGTGTGCGGCTCACCAACTGAGCTAGGCCGCTGACTAAAAATTAAGAATTATCCATCCAGGTGACTTCGTCTAAATTTGAGCTCGTGATCTATGTCTTACAAGATACATATATGTACTATTCGGCGTATAGTACCGTATACCTTTCCGTACATCTGGGGCTAATAAGCCCTCCTCATGCATGCATGGATTCGAACTGGCGACCTCGGCCACAAGAGCCAAGTGTTTTATAACTACTACAGCCAGGACACTGTGTTCAAAAGCGGAACCATACCGGTCTTGAAAGCCACCCCGACCCCTGCAAGGCTGTAGTGTGTCCAACTTGACGCACACCACACTCAACACCCACGGACACAAGCTATCCTCGCACACTTCGCTCCAATCAATACGTCGTAACTCCCACTGGCACCTTTCAGCTGCATGCCAGTGCATGGGCAAATCTTTATAAAGACTTCATTATCCTGTGAAAAAATGGGAAAAAAAAAAAGAAGCGTGTCCCGTTCAGTCACATTCACTTTTCTGAGTTTTGCCTGATCTCATCTCAGCCGCAGAAACCCCCAGAGTCCCAGACTGAGACCCTCACTGGGCCCCCCTGGGAAGGGTCACAAAGTCATCAATCATGCCTGTGATGCTCTCTTAGCTGTTCTTAGTTGAAGCCGGGCAAGGGCCCCGGTGCTTGTTTTACGTTCGCATTACATTTGCATTACGTTTGCAGCATTGTTGCAGCATTGTTGCAGCATTGTTCCGCAATAGGGACACGGCCGGTACCCCCCAGCGGAGTTTGAAAAAGTCCGATGGTTTTTCTTGCTGAGATTTCAAAAGTAGTACATTTCTGCGTGCCCGCCCCCCCCCTCCTCCCTTCCCCCCCCCTTTCCCCCCCCTTCCCCCCCCCAAAAAAAAAGCAGTAGTACAGTTACTACAGTAATGATTGGTAATGATATTCCAAATTTTCTTGATGTCCCTCTTTGCTGCCTTTTTGGGAGAACGGTTCATGTCTCTACAAATAACCTAAAGACTCAAAGAGAGAGCATCACAGTGACTTGATACTTAACTGGGTGTCCTCTAAGGGCACATTCTTTTTTTGTTTTCCCCAATGGACCACGGATCAGATATCAAACTGATCTCAGAACAGAAACTACAATCTAAGGGCATACTCGAACTAAAAGTTTTGTACTTTTTTTTCTGGACGTAATTGAGGTCGGGTACATCCAAGTAGGGCCAGAATTACGCTCAGATGCATTTAAGATTGTGCTACCGTCTTCCCGTGAATAGAACGTCCGGTCATTAGAGCCAGATTTGGTGCGAACCTTCAGTCTAGGTACAGCGATAATGACGGGGCAATCTATTTGGGAGAAGAGGGTAGTGTGCGTGTGCTCTAATTGGCTGATCTGCATCTGGCAGATGTGCAACGGATTCACAAATGTAATCCAAACCCCCAGAATGGACAAGGAGCCAGAACCGTAATCACCGGATTTACGTTCAATTAAAGAAAAAGAGAAAAAATAAATAAATTTTTGGTGAATTAAGTTCAATTAAGTTGAATTAACCCAAAATGATCACCGTATCCCCGACTACAACTGAAGATTTGGGATTTTGGCCTTTTTTTTTTTCCTATTTAGAACTTCAGATTTGAATTCCCTTCCTGTTTCTTGCTTCATGCTTATGCTTATGAAATTTTCTTTTGGGGGGAAGGTACAGTCCCAATTCAGCTGAGGGCATAGTCACACGGACTTTTTCAACTAATCGATGGATGCAATTGTGGCCAGATACGTCCACGGTGTACTGTAGTTGTGGTTAGATGCATTGCATCCAAAATGGCCGCACAGTGTGACTCTGTGTGACTATGCTCTGAGATTTTCTTGCAAGGCAAGATCTCTGCCACGACCAGGACGCTTCATCTGCATCCGCCCCTCCAACCCTCAGCTTTAAAAAAAAAAAAAGGATAAAAAAATATTGAAATTAAAAAAATCCTTTAAAAATGATTAAAAACTTGAAAAGAACAAAAAGCTGCAACTGCTGAGATCTTGGCAGAGATCTTGGTTTGTGCCTACCTGTGTTTAGTACCATGGTAGAGATATGGACGGGATCTTTTTTTTTTTTTTTTTTTTTTTTTTTGGTTAATTGCAGAATCTTGTCTTGTTACTGCAGCTTCAGAACCTCTTGTGTTGTTAATACCCACTTACCTTGTTGGGTTATTAAAATGGTGGTGCTTGTTTCCATATGAAAAGGGCCTCTAAAACAAATTGCGCCTGTGTTTAGGTTGGGGATACCTTGTGTGGTGGTAATACCGTAAAACCTACCTATCTTGGGCTATCAAAAATGGGGGTGCTTATTTCCAAAATGGGGTTTTGGCTTCAAGCCCCCCCGTCCTCCACATATCTTGGGCTATTGAAAATAGGGGTGCTGTTGCCAAAATGGGGTATATTTTGGGCTATCAAAAATGGGGGTGCTTGTTTCCAAAAATGGGGTTTCGGCTTCAAGCCTGCCCCCCACATATCTTGGCCTATCGAAAATGGGGATGGTGTTCCCAAAAGTTGGGTTTTGTCTTGGAGGGGGGGGGGGGGGGGGGGGAGGTGCGGAGGCACATATCTTGGGCTATTAAAAATGGGGGTGCTTGTGGGGTTCTGGCTTGAAAGGGGCCTCAGAAGGGCTGAAGGGATCTGAAAAGCTTTAGCGCTTCTCTTCACTGCGCAACTTTCTTAATGCATTTGGAGCTGGTAATGGTCTCAATACATTCCAGACGTTCGATCAGTCCAGAATCCAGATGTATTTACTTTATCATAATCTCAATAATTAATAAGTATAATCTTGGAAAAAAAAAAGGGGTTAATTATTTTGCTCTGGATATCGGGAAAATTTGGGACAGGGAGTTACTGCCTGCATTTGGGGAACTGCTTTTGGTTTATCGGCTCGATGTTCGGTCCTCCGACCTCATTTGTTTCTTTTCTTAGTTTGTGAGGGACTTCTTTCGACTCCCTCCTTAGCCCTTTTAATTTTTAAAGGGGTCAATGTGCGGTAACCGGTTTGAACCATGGACTGTTGTTTTTGGAACTGGGGCTTGTTGTTCTGCGTCCTTAGCCTGTATCATTACGCTTGCGGACCATTGAACCGGAGTTGGTTTTTGTTTTACGATTCGATTCGAAGTTCAAACTCTTGGTTGTTTTTAGCCTGTATCATTACGCTTGGGGACCATTGAACTGGAATATGTGGTGCAACGGTGTAGGTGTAACCAGATTTGAACCATGGCTGGCTTTTTTCGGGAACGGGATGTTAACGTTCTCGTTTTAGCCTTTAGTTTGTGCGATGTACCTGGATTTTCTTTAGTTTGTGCGATGCACCTGGATTTGAACCATGGACTGCTGTGTGGAATTGTTTGTCGGGGTCCTGATTCAGAGGTATGGTCAGGTCAGGCTGGCTGGGAGTAGGCAAGATTAGAACTCTGGACTATTGCCAGGACAGTTTTTTTTTGTCTGAGGAGGGAATTAGGTGTTGGTCTCTGTGCCATGGGTATTGGTAAAATAATGGATTTATTGCATAGTATGCATACCCAGTAGGCCTCACTGTACAGGGTCCAACGCCTCTCTGGGTACTATGTATATGATGAGAATTTGTGTTAAACCACCACTACCTTTCAGAGTGGAAGGCTAAGTCGTGAATGTGAGTTATTATATAGCCTGTGCCGCATTCTTCGAAGACCGGGCGCCACCGGATCAAAATGGATGGCGGCACCAACCAAAACGAAAGAAAAAAGGTCCCGCTGGCGCTTTGACAAAGCTTGCATGCAGTTCTTCTCCGCCACCTCGGGAAAAAAAAACGACAATTGCATGTAGTGGTGGTTTTAAGTTGTTTAGAATGATAGAATCTTCATTGATTTTCTTCAGTATGCCAATTTGGGTTAGAACTGAGAATGTCTGGATATGGAGTTGGTATGGAACAAGAGTATACAAAAGAAGTGCATGTTGAAGGTGTTTAGGTGTGCCAGTAAAGGGGCTGTGATGGTGGTCCTGAAAAACGAAAACAATCATTGTACTCAAGATCATGGATCGGGAACTGGAGTGACAGGACCCCCAAAAAACATACATGCTTTCCTCCTCCCCCCTCCCCCCCCCCCCCCTTCTTTTTTTCTAAGAAAGTTAGAAAAATCCAAAGAAATAAGGTAAACTGAAACTCGATGAATACATAACTCTAATTGGATTAGGGTTTTGGCATTGGCTGAGAACTCGACTGTACCTTGTCTGCGTGAATTCCATTTCAGGTACGCAGTGCTCAACCAATGTAATTATGTGGTGCTGGACGAGGCCGACAGGATGATTGATATGGGCTTCGAGCCACAGGTGAGAGGTGCAAGTTAAGAGGTAGTGAAAGGGTCATTAATACTCATTATCAACTCATGAGTTATCAGTACTTGTTACTAGTGACTCTGAGTTAGTAGCCGTTTGTAAAAAATTATATGTTCATAACTTGATGTGTATGTTGTCTTTTATTGATTTAAGTTATTTAACATCTTCAGTTTTTTTTTAACTTCGAAGTTCAAAGTTTAAAATTTGAAGTAGTATATCCTCCTGATGAGGCGGTGAAACTCCGATGAAACAGTTTGTTGTCCTCTTCTCCCTCTCTGCCTACGGTATACCGGGCAGTTCTGTTTGACGATATATATACGTCACTACGCGGCCATGTTGTGCCTCTAGTGCCAGCGGCGTGTCTGGAGTGTATTTTTTGGCTGTGACAGACCTTCATTTGTTTCGTGGGTGTTTTGCTGGCTTGTGATGGGGTGTGAACCGACAGTCTGTAGAGTTTTCCATCTGGTGTGGGTGAGTGATAGTGTACTTTGATTTTGGTTAAGGTGGATTATCACTTACAGTGTAATCAGTGAGGGGATTCTGCAGACTGTTGAGGGTTCAGCCTCCTTATGAGTCGGTGAAACTCCCGACGAAACAGTTTGTCACAGCCCCTCGTTTGTTGTCCTCTTCTCCCTCTCTGCCTACGGTTTACCTGGCAGTTCTGTTTGATGATATATTATATATATATATATATATCTATATATATAGATAGATAGATAGATGTATATAGATAGATAGATAGATAGATAGATAGATAGATAGATAGATAGATAGATAGATATAGATATAGATATACCGATGAAACAGTTTGTTATCCTCTTCTCCCTCTCTGCGTACGGTTTACCGGGCAGTTCTGTTTTGACGATATATATACTCTGTCGTGCATGCTTCAGAGGTATGGTTAATGCTAGCCGCCCTGGCTCCAGCTGTGACGAAGTTGCTTACCTGAATGGTTTTCGTCCTGTAGATCAGCGGGAGGGCTGCTACCATCGCCCGCATCCTTATGACAGTTGTCCTATCTGTCGTGAGGGTCTTACTTAGACGTACCTTGCATCCTGACTAAAATGTGCAGGTGCGCTGAAAAGAGTGTACAAGAATGTGCAAAGGTGGGGAACCCTTCACTAAAACTGCAAAACTGTGAAGAATGCAGTAAAAGAAGAACATAAGTTTGTGTCATCTTACTTTGTTTGTACCCTGCACCCCAACACCCTAAAAAGAAAAGTCCGAAGGGTGAAAATGAAGATGAAAAATGAAGAAGGAAGTGCAGGTGCGTTGAAAACCAAAACTGCAAAACTGTGAAAGAAAGAAGAATGCAGTGAAAGAAAGAAGATGTTTGGGTCACTTTTTTTTATTTGTTCTCCCTCTGCCTATCGGTTTTCCTTTTCTGCTTCTCTCCTCCTTCTGTTTAACACCTCTTCCTTCACTCTGCCTCTTTCCCATAGCGTGCAAGTGGGCTGTTATGGCATACGGGGATGGGGGCAGCTCGCGCTCAACTTCATCAACGTGGCGAGCCTTGTACGTTAGAGGCATAGTGGAGGAGGCGTTAAGAAGACTGAGAAACTGAATGATTTCAATGTGTCTTTGTTTTTTATTTTTATCCTTTGATTCAGTGTAAACTTTTTTTTGTTAAACACTGAAAGAAATAATAATACTGTGAAACAACGAATAAGAGGACACTGTTTTGTGTCATTCTGGTTGTCTATCTCTTTGCCTGTCTGTCCTTTCATTTTTCTTTTCTGCGCTCATCTTATTTCTTCTTCTACTTCACGTGCTTACGCTCTTAGTCAATAATTCTGTGACAATATATATATCTGGCTATTGTACACGCCTCTGACCATTGGGAGGTGTGGAACGACGGTGTCATGGTCCATGCCATGATTGATATTACTGATTTCTTACTCTATGATGTTGTTCTCTTGCCACATCAAACTGTCCGCAACCTCCTTTATGTCGAAGATCATTCCTCTGGCACCGTAGTGCAGCAGTACAATGTACAGACACTGTGTGACCTTCTCCTTTGCACAGCCACAGACACTGTTGCACTTGGCTGTA